AATTCCCAAATTTCCCCCCAGGAATTCCAAAGTTCCTCCCAAAAATCCTCCCCAAGAGCCCCAAAATTCCCTTTGGGAATCCCGAAATTCCCCAGATCCCCCCTGGGAATCCCAAATTTCCTCATGGGAGCCCCAAAATCCCAAAATTCCATTTGGGAATCCCAAAATTCCCAAAAATTTCCACCCCCCCAGGAATTCCAGATTTGGCTCCCAAAATCCCAAAATTCTTCCCAAAATTCCCAATTCCTCCCCCAAATTCCCAAAATTCCCCAAATTCCTCCCGGGAATCCCAGATTTGGCACCCAAAATCCCGAAATTCCTCCCCGAATTCCCAAATTTCTCCCAAAATCCCAAAATTCCTCCCGAAATTCCCGAATTTCCCTCCTGGTTTGGGGCTCCGGGGGGTCCCGGCCCCTCCCCCCCCCTTTATTTATGATCCCAATAAAAAAACGGAGAAATCCAAAAATTCCGGAATTTTCTTCGGGAATTCGGGAGGGGGAGGGGCCAGGCTGGGGGAATTTGGGGAATTTTTTGGGATTTTTGGGGAATTTTTGGGGGGAATTTTGGAGAAGTTTGGGGCATTTTTGGAAGAACGTTGGGGAATTTGGGGAGAAATTTTGGGAATTTGGGGGAATTTGGGAGAAATTTGGGGCCAATTTTGGGAATTTGGGGAAATCTGGGGGGAATTCAGGGACAAATTTTGGGAATTCGGGGCCAATTTTGTGGGAGTTTGGGGGAAATTCTGGGAAATTGGGGAGATTTGGGGGGAAATTGGGGAAATTTGGGAACAAATTTGGGGAATTGGGGCCAAGTTTTTGAATTCGGGGGAATTTGGGGGATTTTGGGGGGATTTGGGGCCAATTTTTGGAGTTTGGGGCATTTTTGTGGAGACTTTGGGGGAATTTGGGGGGAATTTGGGGGAATTTGGGGATTTTGGGGGAATTTGGGGGGTCCCGGGTGTGGGGAAGGTCCCCGCGGGGGATTCCAGGTGGATTTTGGGTGTCTCAGGTGGATTTTGGGTGTCTCAGGTGGATTTTGGGTCTCTCAGGTGGATTTTGGGTCTCTCAGGTGAATTTTGGGGTCCCAGGTGAGTTGTGGGTTCTCTCAGGTGTTCCCAGCTCCTTCCAGGTG